AACCGATCCTAGAGAGAGAGATGTGCCTGTCCTGTACGTGGTGGGGTCTTGGCTGCCCTGGTACCACAAGGCCCTCATCGTTCAAGGCTGTCTGGCACAAAGAGACGGGCACACTTCACCAAGTCAGGGGTGTCAAAAGATCAGGACTGAAGGGTCTTGGCTATCCACCCGTTTTTGCTTTTACAATGCTAAAAAGGCACAAGCAGGAGGGTAATCCTGGCTTTGTGCGTCTGGATCATTACAAGGAAGAGCAACAAAAAACGACAAGAGTATCATTGACAAGGCATGCAAAATGCATTAAAGCAAAGCACAAGCCAGCGTCTTCCACAGCATCCCTCCAGCTCACTGTCATTCCCACACGTGCAGAGCAGATAGGAGCAGATTTATTTTTAAACACATTCATAGTTGTTTTTACAGCTTTGTTTGCATTTCCCTGGGTCAGGCCAGCCATCCAAGGAATCGCAAGCTGCTTGCTCACAGAACAACATCCCAGCTGAAAATGCAGAGGGTTTGTGCAGAACCTACTTAAGAGCAGATAAAGGATATTTTCACTGTGCATTTGGGTCCTGGTTTTCCTCCCTCTCAAAGCTTTCAATTGCTGGAAATGGCAGGCAAACTGCTGTTACCGCGGCACGCAGAGATTAACGGTCACGCTTTGCAAAAATCCTGAAGTAGAAAAATAGGATCTGTTTTGTCTGTGGTAAATAATGATCCGACTCAGGGAAAAATAGCAACAGAGGCGGACAGAAAAACAAAAACAAAAGAAATCAACCACACCATGGCTACAGCCACCGAATCAAAACGGGTGCTTCCGATCAGGGAACGACAGTTTCCGAGGAAGGCAAAAGTTTGCTATATTGAGATCCAGCCGTTTTCATTCACACATATCTTTGGTTGTCTCAGTCAGCTCCCAGCTGGGTAACAAGCAGCGTCCCAAACCGAAGGGTAGGGCTTCTCAAACACCTCCGACCAGCCCTGAGGAAACTTCCCATCGCGGCAACACTGGTCACCAGAGCAGGAGCCGCACTCCCAAGCTGCCACTGCCTGTGAACACACCCAAGAGCGAGAGAGTGGGGTGAAAAAGCCCCCCGTATCTTCACCTACACCAAGGCCATGGGATAAGGAAGGCTTCTGAATCGGCTTGAAGATCTCTCCCCGTACAAGACCAGCAAGATCTCCCGCCCTCTATCCCAAGGTCTCAACCTGTGGGGACAGACGTAGCTCCTGATTCGGAACCGGCCTCTAATGATCAACTGAGCACCCTCCGCACCGCGCCGGCGCGGAGGGAGAGTGTGAGCGCACCGCAGGCCTGCGGGGGGACCTGGGCCTGCGAGTGCCGGAGGAGCTGCTGCCGAGGGCCGGCTGGGGCTGCCTGGGGGTGACCAGGCAACACAGGCTTGACCCCGGCGACGTCTGGCCTGCAGGCCTCAACCCGCGGTGAGAGAGCTCCGTCCTCCCTCACAGTGATCCGCCCAGGCTTTCTGGAAAGAGGCTTCTTCTCAGAAGCTCTGTTCTTTTTGATTCTCTAGAACACTATTTTTCGCTGCAATGGAAAAGGGCCGAAAGGTTTGATGCTGCAGCTGCGGCCCTCCGCTGCCGCGGATTACTAAGAGCCCCCAGTGATTAGACATCAAGGTGATCTCAGATCCTCGGTTTACACACAAAGCTCCTTTTTAAGGATTTATTGTCAACTCAAATACAAATGCATTTAGTTTGGCAATTTCAGTCTAATCTGAAAATAATATACAAAAATTGTATGTGAATCAGGCCATTGAGAGAACCATTTTCCTTTTTACATTAAGCCAATTGAGAATAAATTCTCATTTGCCAGGGCATTTACTGGAACAGTCTGAGCAAAGCATCTAGCTCAAGGGTACGGCAGTGCTGACCCAAGAAGAATTAACACCCTGAGCCCCGACCAGCATCTTATACTGCTGGCCTTAAGTCATTAAAATTAATTCAATCCGTAATCCTAAATCAATGTTTGCCATTTTGTTTGAAATCGATTAAAAGCACAGGTTTTTCCGTGAGTAAAGTATTCTTAGTGCTCAGATCCATAAAACCCAGCAGGAAAAGGTCGGTAATGTAGCTTTTGCATGTACCGTCCATCAGACGAAGACAAGACAGCCAGAGCTTTTATTGTTTAACTTGTAACTTTTGTCTATTCAGTTTCCAGTCAAAGAACGCCGAAGCTTTGCCTGTTTGGGGGGAATATGTGGGTTAATTCTATATTTTCTTCTTCTTTCTTTTAAAACCTTTCTTTTTAAAGCCTTTCTTTTAAAAACAGTGACCGGCTTTCAACCTCACTACGGACTTGATGGGCATCAAAAGGCCAGGCTGGCTCTCCGGTAAGGTTTCCTTACCTTCTGAAGTTCCACTGATGGCCTGGAGCTTCTCCGGGGAATTACGATGACCTTTTTTTGTAATATGACCACTAAAAACAAAAAGGTGCTCAGTGAGTCTCTCTACAAATCCTGACCCGCACTGATCCCGTCATATTTGAAGGTGGGCTCCATGCAAAAGTGAAACTTTTCTCTACAACTACAAATCAGCTTGTGGAACCTTCAGGTCCCTCTTCACAGTTCTTGCTCCTCTTGAATTTTATCTGTAAAATCTGTCTCTGAAGAACAACCTGATAAAATGCTAACCAATTTTTTATTTTACTGGGTGAGGGTTTGAAGTTGAGTCAAAACCCATATCATCAGTCCTTAATTCTCCAAATCCTTTGGAGCGAAGATATGAGGCAAATGTTTGGAATAATGTAAACACGTGTTCTCATTTGATCGTCATTACTTTTATTCTTTGGAGGGGAATTATAGCTTGAAACGGTCTTGAAAATCCCGCTGTATTTGTCTTCACCACTTTCAACATTCTTCCAAGGTAAACTAGAGACCGAATTACCAGAATCCTCCTGCACTGTGCAAGGCACGGAGGAGCAATCGCTAAATTAATCCGAGAATGATTCCGACTGAACCCACTGAGGACTCTCAGGAAACTTATTAGTAAAAACTTACAGCACTAATGTGTGTTTCAGCTGCTCTCGCAGCAATCAGACTCTAATGTCTTTTTCAGACCAATTCAGTTCCCGACAATAAAAAAAAAATCAACATATTCTCGTTACGGAGCACAAAGCTGTAGCTATAAATCTGACTGCGTTTAATAATCTTTCTCACGCTATGATATAATTATAGAAAATCTAGAATGGTAGAGGTACATGTATAAGAATATATACAAACATTAAGACTTTAAAACTGTAAGAAAGGCTATGTCAAACACCTCCTGCCATCGTATTTGCTTTAGTTTTCTGAAGATGTGTGTAGATTATGTCTGATAAAGGAAGTGTGTGCCTTTCACTAATCTACGCTTACTACCAACGTAAAAACCAGGTGAATGCCTAAGATTACAGTAATCTCCTTGCATCTGGATCTTTGCCAACAGCTTCTTTTCAGACTCCTTGCATAGAAGGTAATAAAGAAAGGAGAAAGCAGGCAATTTCTTTTCTCCGTCCTCTTCAGAAGATAAGAAGAAACGACAAGTACACACTGGGATTACGAGAGCTAAGAATTCCTCTAGGGGAGTCTGGCATTGACTGCACACAGCCCCTTCGTTTCACAGGAGTATATAAGGGACCTGAGGGGTGTTTGACTCGCGGTTACAATAGTTCCTCTCCCGGGCAGACTGACTGACGGCTCTGGGTCAGGGATCAGTTAAGATTTGGATGCTGCGATAGTGTCTTGACTTTCCTGATCTCAGAGCATCAGGGCAGGCTTGGGAAATTGTAGCAGCTGAGGAGACTTGGAGACTTCTTTTTGGAAAGGCCATTAATGAAGCCTCTTCCACTGATCATCTGTTTCTCTCAATCCATTCACCCAGGACACTGACAGTCATACAGCAGATCAGAAAATATGAAGAAAGCTCACTTTGGTCTAATCAAACAATTGAGTTTTCAATTGAAAATGAAAAGGTTCAGCAATCCAAAATTCCAGAAATTCAAGAATGTCAAAAGTGATTTTCCTGCCCCAGTAGTACAGTGAAAAGAAGTTGAAGTACTGTAGGTAGCTGTGTCAGCATGTGTAGGCTGCAAAGGAACAAGTAAATGGTTTATCCAAGAAACTGTGGAGCCTTCTTTGGGTGTGAACACCTGTTATTAGTGTACTTATTTATTAAAACAAAATATGGTTCTGTAAATAAAAAAACATAAGGCCCGGAGATCTGTTAAAGTGAATTTGGCATATCCTGTTTTCATTTTGAACATTATGGTTCCCCTACTGACCTTCTCTTTTCTGAGGAGTCTGAAGTACAGATGACCGTCAATGTCAGCACTGGTTGAAAATTTAAATCTGATCCTTTCTTGAAATATAGCCAACACAGTATTATCAACACAGGATTCAAGCGCTTTAATGGAATCAGACTGCAGCACGGGCAGCTGCATTTAAAAAAAAACTTGAAAAACGCAACCACATCTGTACGATGATGTACTGATATTTAATCAGAGAGGAAAAGACCTGCTGTTGTTGAAACTTCTGTTGTTCTATCATATACCTACAAATAAAAATCCTGTACTTAAATTCAAACTCATAGTTCCTCCAGTTTTATACTGTTCACAGAAAAAATATCTTCTGAGTGAAATTATATATATGCTCATTTATAGTCTTTGCATAAAACACTACACATGGAAAAATGCCTTAGCAACTGTTACTAATAATTTAAAATAAAATTAGGCCAATCCATGGCACAGACTGTAACTAAGTCTAACATTTACTTTATTATAGAATTCATTAAATCCTTTACTACTGAAAATTCAATTAATATGCTTGTTTAACACATTGTGGAACGTTTATGAGGCGTGCAACACCTAAAGGAAACTTTTTAATTCAACAATCATATTGATATGCTATAAGACTTTATTCCCCTGGCATTTATTTATGATTTTTAATGCATATAATATTTAACATTTTAACATTTGCAATTTCTATTATTAAAAATGTGACACATAAAAGGATCCTTTTAACCACAAAAATTAATATCCAAGGACACAGAACTGAAGGGCCTCATTCTAAGTTCCTAACCTAGTGCCACTTCTTCTTCAATGTCCTTGAAGAGAACACAGATAGCATTGTTACAGCACTGTGCTTTAATAATTGAGTTTCTGTTCAGCACTCATGAGTTGCTTGCTCCTTACAAACTGGAAATAATAAGTTTCTTTCTCCCTCCTCAGTCTCTGATAGTCCCTCTCCTGTGAAGAGCAGACAGCCCTGACAGTAGCACACATTAAACTTACAGCACACTGCCTCTAGCCCCCTTCCAGATAGCCGAGAGCTCTGTGCAGCTGCAGTGTCACGGGCAGAAGGACACAAATGCAGCGATTCTGAAACACTGCGTCCCGACCCCTCAGAAAGTGGCAGCACAACCAGCACATTATTCCGGCCTCACCTCCCCCAGGCCAGCGTGACAGTAGTCCGAGTTAACCTAAAACAACAGTCTGCATGCCTTGTTCTCCACCAGCACCGAGAACGCAAGAATGAGAAGCAACTCCTTTAACCAGACAGAACAGCCAGTCGCTGGCCCAGCCCAGTCTCTAGTGTCATCACAGGTATCACGAGAGGTATCACCGGGACTACATTTCAGTAGCCAACACTGCTGGGAGAGAGCAGCCAGAAAGGCTACAAGGTAAGTTTTGGGGTCTTCTTTCAGGAACTGAAGTTGGAAAATCTGAATTAAATATTAAAATATTAATACTGATATTACAATCAAGGGTTCAGCAAAGGGATCTTATGTATCATTTTCAGGAGTTTTCTGTCAATGACTTTTGACTTGGGGTGGAGCAGTGGTTCTGTGGCTCAATATCTGTGCCTGTGGCTGGAAGGTTGCCGGTTCAAATCCCGCAGCCGGCAGAGGAATCCTACTCCGTTGGGCCCCTGAGTAAGGCCCTTAACCCCAACTGCTCCAGGGGCGCTGTGCTCTGACCCAAAGCTTCTCCCACTGTCTGTGTGTCTCATGGAGAGCAAGCTGGGGTATGCAAAAAGACAAATTCCTAATACAAGAAATTGTATAGGGCTAATAAAGTGATATTATGATGTTATGTTACTTCCACTCACTTTGCACAGCTCCGACATCAGGAGATAGGAGCTTCAGGGCGGGATAAGTGTGTAGGCATTTGATGCACAGGGGGCCCTTTACGCACAGATACTGAATCATGTCTAATGCTCTCTTCAACTGGTATCGTCCTCCCGTAAGCGCTCCTTAATCAAAACACAGGTCCCCCCAGATGAAAAACAAATAAAGATCCAAGCAAACAAAAACAATAAAAACCAGACCGGGAAGCAAACATAAAGCAAACCACAATATTTCATTAGGGTACAGTTTCCTGCCATTTTCAATCTCCTGATTTGTAACTTAAGCACGGCACATCCACTGCCGCTGTCAGCTCGACTTTCGCAGAGAATTACTTCTTGATATTAAAAATCCTGCCTGTGACACCGTGGCTCTGGTAGCCGAGATTAAATCGACGTCTACATCGTTGGTGAAATCAGGTTCTAGGAAAGACAGAGGTACCGTGATTTGGGTTTCAACAAAAAAGATGGTTCTAGGAACCAGGGTGTCGGCCCAGGGATGTCTGTCAGCGTGGTTGGAGAATCGAATTCCCAGGACCTTGATTTTTACTGTTGAGGGTTTTTTTTTTTACTCTTGCTTATGAAACGCTACTCAGCATTTCTGAACTTCACCGATTTTCTGGAGGAAAAAAAAAAGAAATACAAAAAAAAAGACATGGACCTGAAGATATAGTTAGAAATATTATTTCACTGCCTCCGTCAGCTCTTCTTGAAGGCAGGAAAGGGGGACTCAGCAGTCTTCACGTGCTCGCGGCTGCTGGCGAGGTTAAAGCGGCGCTTTGCCTCGCCCCTCTCGCCGCAGAGGGACAGAGAGCAGCGAAGGAAGAGGGAGAGCTCAGAGGAGGAGATCGGGCCCACCTGGGAGCAGCACACCGCATCAAATTAATAACGCTTTTAATTGAAGCCTTTAAAAAAGTGCACGGCTCATGACGGACCATGTTATAAAACTGTTAGGAAGCAGATCTTTGGTCCCGCATGCTATCACCTCACCACCCCTCAGACTGGACAGCGTGTCTCAGCGGGACCAAATCACAGCGCCTGGAGGCTCTGGAGCTCTTCAGACTCAACACTGCACTTACTGCACACGGCCCTGCAGCATCCGGGCGGAGACCTTCCCCATACATTAGAATCGTAATTGGCAAAAGAGGAACTATTTCACAATAAGCAGACGGGCAGACTTACTCTATGTCACGTCTCTGTCTCACACCATACGTATCCTGTTTTATAAAAGATACAGAGCAGAGAGTTTTTTTACTAGTCTTTTTAACATTCTATATCGTGAAGACTGGGAGAAAAGAATTCTTGGGAAAATAATCAAAATAATAATAATAACCTCAGCTCCGCAATTCCAAAAAAAGGATTTCTATCGGACGCTTTCTACTCATATTCCTGAATTTTCTTTTTTTTTTAATCTGTTGATTTGCTGTTGTAGAGGGAACAGAGGCAGGATGCTCAGAATCAGGGATGGCCTCTGAACATGAACGAGTCCCATCAGTCTAACCGATCCAGAGCTTCTGCAAGCCTGGCGTTCTGTCATGACGATGCTCGGAATGGACGCCTCAAGAGGTCAATTTCATCTCCGCCGCCTTTCCCATTTGCCATTTCTGGCTTCAAAGCAAGACGTCGGCTTCGCCTCTTTCTGAAATTTACTGGAAATAAGCCGTGACAGCCGTCTGAATACAGCAAGAGGTGTGAAAAACATATTAGCACCACGCAATCTTTTACTTCTTAGTGGAGCGATCAAGTACTGTATATTCTAACTGACGACAGGACATTTGAAGAAGAAAGCCTGTCATTTTAAGCGATGCCTCCTTACCCGTTCTCTGTGGTGCCTCTTTAATTTTGATCATTTTCTTGTCTCAGATGGCATTTAGGCTTAATTCTTTTCTTTCTACCCATCCTGAAGAACATAATTAGCTCTTATAATTTTACTGTCACTAACTCATACAGAGAGGATTAATGCAGTAATATAGTCTATTGTTTTCATCTTTTTAATACCCATCTTAATTTTTTTTACATTTTATGGCTCTTCCTGTACAATAACTCATTAGGTTCTTCTTATATAATTCACCCACTTAAACGTCATGGTAACCAAGATGCCATGGCAACTACACCAAGTTGCTTCATAGACCTCATTGGTGGTGCCCACTGCAACTTTTACACCCAGTCCACAGTGCATAGCCCATCTTAATAAAAGCACTTGAAAATTAATTCCGTTCCAAGTACACTACCTGTAATGAACTATTGAAACATATTAAGCTGGGTGCTAAATCAACTATAATTATAATAACGGTTCATTTTCACATTGCCACTGATAATTAATAAGAGCATATATCATCATGTTTCGAAGAAGAGCCTTGCAGATGGGCATTGGTTTATTTCAGAAGATCTTATGGTGCCAGGTTTAAATGTGTGACGGTCAGCCCTGTTCATCACCTACCACGACCGTCCTGCGCACCACAAGCCCCAACTCACAACACTGAGCAGGCCGAGGGAAAAAGATAAAGATTCAAAGTCGCTACCAGTGTGACTGCTTGTAACCCACTTTCTTAACTAACAGTCCCATTTATTTTTTTAATCAAATTAAAGATCAGTATTCTTTTTCAGGGTGGCATCACATCACAGAGTCAGCTCTACCGCCTCCCGGTTCCCAGGTCCTGCCTTCGACGTTCTCATATTGCGAGTATGATCTCCTTTTAATGGACTTTAATTAAACTTATATTAAGTTCTTAATTGTTGTCTCTTTTAACTGCTCTCACTCTGCAGCTCAATTAAGCCTGAATTTGAGGGAGCACACAGAGATATTATATTATTTCAGGTATTAATTAAGAAAACTAACTATTTGATAAGGCAGATAGCATTACATGTATTTATCCAACTACCCTTCAATCATTTTTTAAATTAAATTGTATAGCTGAATCCAGACAGTTTTGTTACGTTCTATTCAAACAGGCGCAGTACAAGTTATGCATAAGCTATTGAGCACAATCTCTTGAAATCCTTTCTTTATGAAGACATCACTCCATTAGATAAGAAACGCAGGCGGCTTACTGTGACGGTATATCAGGGCTTTGAAATCAGTCGCCCTGGAAAGAAACAAACATCAGTGTAACATTTTATTTTTATCACACTTTCACCACTTTTCTTATTTTTCAAACTTTTGGTTTTAAATCAACCTTAACGGCTGGTGAAAGTTCAGACAAAGATTCAACAAATCGAATGTGTGCGAAGTGGCAATGAGGTGAAAAAAAAAAACGACCTGAGACTGCAGGGAGATCGGTGCTGCACGGAATTAAATTTCAAATGAGCACAAGAGTCGAGGTGAGTCTGTTCTCCCCGAACCGCAGAGAAGGTGCCCCTGCCAACGTATTCAGACCGCTGCGACCCCTGGGTGACCTCCCGGCCCACGTCAGCCTTGAGAACCCAGCCTGCACATGGCGTGCCCCTCGTGAAGACAGGTCGAGTGGCTACGACGGGGCCCCTGGCCGAAACCCACCAGCCTGCCCCTTGGGAAGACGGAACACACACGGCGCATGTCCTGTTTGAGAGGAACCCCTCCAGTGCTGCCCCTGAAGTGTTATCAACAAAACTTTCTTGCCTCTCAAGGTTTCCCAACACATTTTAATTAGATTTGAGGTTTCCTTTGGAGATAGCGTCTCGGTCCTTATTTAAGGCTCTGTGGCTAAGGATCTGCACCTGTGGCTGGAAGGTTGCCGGTTCGTATCCCGTGGCCTGCAGAGCAATCCTAATCCGTTCGGCCTCTGAGCAAGGCCCTTAACCCCAACTGCTCCAGGGGCCCTGTTTAAATGGCTGACCCTGCGCTCTGACCCCAAAGCTTCTCTCACTGTCTGTGTGTCTCATGGAGAACAAGCTGGGGTATGCGAAAAGACAAATTCCTAATACAAGAAATTGTATAGGGCTAATAAAGTGATGTTATGATGTTATGTTACTTCCACTCACTTTGCACAGCTCCGACATCAGGAGATAGGAGCTTCAGGGCGGGATAGGTGTGTAGGCATTTGATGCACAGGGGGCCCTTTACGCACGGATACTGAATCAAGTCTAATGCTCTCTTCAATTGGTATCGTCCTCCCGTAAGCGCTCCTTAATCAAAACACAGGTCCCCCCAGATGAAAAACAAATAAAGATCCAAGCAAACAAAAACCGTCTGTGTGTCTCATGGACAGCAAGCTGGGGTATGTGAAAAGACAAATTCCTAATGCAAGAAATTGTATAGGGCTAATAAAGTGATCTTATCTTAGCGTCTAATAATCGCTTTCCTATCTTCTTACGGCCCACTTCCATATCGACAGTAATCTCAGGCACGATTATTCATAATTCACGCACACCGCTACATACTGTATATATATATCTCCTGTTCCTTCTCCTCCTCTCCTAGAAGCCTTAACAGACAGGCCCAAGACGTGATGGAGCTGAATGGAGTCCGTCCATATATTTCTGAAGCTGTGGTGTTAATGCTGGGCTAGAGGAACTTCAAACACGTCTAATTTGAAGCAATCGAAGGTCCCTGTACAGTTTCAAAAAGCAGCACTGCTTCCTCAGACAGAACTCACTGTGGCATTTGCTTTTCCTTATCTTTTCAGAAATGTTCCATTTCATCCTGTTTTTTTTTCTCCATTTTTTGGCTACTTCTGAAAAGTCATTACAGCATAACAGAGAACATTTGCATTTTAAAAGACTCCCAACTGAAAGGCACAAGTAGGCAACGTGTGTGTTTTGATCAAGAAAAAGAAGAATATTTTTTTAAAATAAAAACTGCTGGTTTGAAAAGGGACAATAACGTGCCTCAAAAAAGTGACAAGTGAACGTTTCTTTCTGGGAAAATTGAAAGAAAGTGATGAGCTGAGGCATTCAGAGAGCCTTCTGACCCCTGCTCTAGCTACATGATTTAGGACCTGGTCTCAATAAAACTGCCTCATCTTATTGACCTCTACATTCAACTTTTACTCCATCTATCAAAACTTACTCGCACGCACCTGCAAAACTAAGAACACAAAACCGGTTGGATTTCAATCACTCCACACACCTTCTGGCTTTTAAAAAAAAAAAGGAATCTCACAAAATATAAAAGCCGAAGCAGTGATGGCCATTGATTTTTGGATTGTGCTCGGTCTGCTTTCACCGGCCCAATCCGTGATCCTACAACAGATTCCCGTGAAAAGCACCCTTGACCCCCCCCGATGTGACATCCCTTCTGGGCAACCTGAAGCAGCCCAGCCAGTAAAGCCAGGCGTTTGAAGTGCACAGCTCTGCTAGACTGGGTTAGAGACATTCAGAGCTCCACCTCTCCCCCAGATAGGGCCAACCCCACCACCAGCACTGTGGAGCTTGCAGTCTGTAAAATGGCAAATGGCTCTGACAAGTGAGCTCTTCAGAAGAAAGGTGTGCACACTCCCTGGAGCCCATGGTTGGTACAAGGGTCGTAGCAGGACTTAGAAAAAGCAATTTCAGATACAGGGGTTATCAATAAAAAGCACCTATGTGTCATCTACTGCTTCCCAGTACAGCTGCGTTTAGTGCACCGCCTCCTGATCGCACTCTGTAGCATGAAAATTACATTCAGGCCTGTTTCTCGTCTGCCTCTGATGCTCATGACAATGTTTGAATTTTTTTAGAACGTTGCATTGGGAGATCTTACTTAATCGCATGCAAAGTTAAGACTTGAAAGCAACTGGGTGTGCAGAGCTCAGTAGGAACAAGGGTGCAATATCACCGCAATATCAATGTCATGTAATTGCAGTGATGCATGTACAGAGCTTTTGTTCTCTGCTTCCCCGTGCTTAAGGAATAAAGCAGCTTTCTTTGCACCGTGACAGTCAAACACAGGATCTAAGGCGAAACGGACTTGTGGGTTTTATCGTTTGTTCATTTCTGCAAATATTGGCTGTTGAATCTTAAAGGATTTTTTTCCCCGCACTCCCTAAGAATTCATCTGTGAAATCAAAGCCGAATCCTTTTCTACGCTCCAAAGCAAGACGCAGTTTCATGTCACTCTGATTTTTTTTTTAAATAAAAAATCGCACTTTGTTCAAGAATCTGGTGTAAGTGAGTGACATAGGTGATGTCTCGTGTTTCTGTGACTCCCTTAGAAGTCTCTCGTTCTTCTTCTGTTTTTACTCCAGTACACACCGACTGAAGCAGTGAAATGAAAGGCCAGAGTGAGCTTCACAGATGAAGTGTCTTCATGGGGACCTCTGAGTTACAATGCCTACAGTGCACAGCGTCTCCCTCCTTTAAGTGCTGTTTTTTTCTCCAGCAGAGCTATCCAAGAGGGCACTTTTTAAATTAAAAGGGAAATTAGGCTGGCTGGAGTGCTGATGTTGTTAGACGCAGACAATTAGATATAATCCCTGCGTACCCAGGGGCAGCTCGGCTTTCATTAGCTATGGTTGGCTCGCCTGCGGTGTTGGGACACAGCTCTAAACCCTACTATTGATTTCCGCAAAGGGCCTGTGTATCAGCCTGCCTTTCTGGAGATGGACTCACTTACTGCCTAATGAGCAGGCAGCTCAAAGCAAGGAAACAACAGCCCTTAACCAGCTGTGATCTAGAGAGAACAGTGTGGAGTTGCGTCAGACAATTATGCATCAATAGGTGAGGGCATCTGCCTTTAATACATTTCACAGTCCCAATTATAATCGTCTTTTCATCCCACCATATCTTGGAATCGATAATTATTGGTTTTTGTATTTGAAATTGCGAGTTTTTTTGTTCTTATAGACCCATCAAATTTGCGGTTAATCAGAAAATCCCCTTCAGAAGTGAGGCTGGGGAGAGTACGGAGTGTAACCTGCTTCACACCTCTGAGGGGTAGCGTCTCTCTTTTCCTCTTCAACGCCTCTGCCGCTGTGGGCCGCGTCACACACAGTCGCAGGCCTGGCTGGTGCCGAGGAGGTAATGGCGCCGTTGCCTGCGGTAAGTGACAGCGCTCCAGTGGCGCGGCTCAGGGATTACCGCTCGAGCGTGAGCAGATTCCGGCGTGTTCGGATCCTCTCGAGAACCGTCAGCCTTCAGCCATCTGCCATGTCGGAGACGTACCCAGGACCTCGCCTCTGGAGAAGGGCGACAGGAGGATGTCTCCTCCCAAGCAGCTGGACACTCTGGACACCCTCACGTTTAAGATCAGATATACAATATACAATTTCTTGCATTAGGAATTTGTCTTTTCGCATAACAATAATAATAATAATAATTGCTTACACTTATATAGCGCTTTTCTGGACACTCCACTCAAAGCACTTTACAGGTAATGGGGACTCCCCTCCACCACCACCAGTCTGCAGCCCCACCTGGATGATGCGACGGCAGCCATAGTGCGCCAGAACGCTCACCACACACCAGCTCTCAGTGGGGAGGAGAGCAGAGTAATGAAGCCAATTCATAGATGGGGATTATTAGGATTGTTAGGAGGCCATGATTGATAAAGGCCAATGGGAAATTGGGCCAGGATGCCGGGGTACACCCCTAAACCTTTCGAGAAATGCCCTGGGATTTTTAATGACCACAGAGAGTCAGGACCTCGGTTTTACGTCTCATCTGAAGGACGGCGCCTGTTTACAGTATAGTGTACCCGTCACTACACTGGGGCATTAGGACCCACATGAGCCTCATGGTGAGCACCCCCTGCTGGCCCCACTAACACCTCTTCCAGCAGCAACCTTAGTTATTCCCAGGAGGTCTCCCATCCAGGTACTGACCAGGCTCACGCCCGCTTAGCTTCAGTGGGTTGCCAGTT